CATTCCTCGTTGGGTCCAAGAGAGTGAAGGCCATGGCGGTGAACTTTACCGGCACCTGGACGCCTATTCTGTACAGCTTCGGGGTCCATTGTTCTGAGGAAACCCTCGATAAACTCTCTATTATTTCCAATTCAGCTCATCTAGCTGGGCATTTGGTGATCGCATACCTAGGGACAGGATAGCCCTGTGATGATAGCCTCTCCTTGATTGTTCTTGCTCCGAGACTTCCGTGTGGGTCCTCTTCAACCAGAAGGACCAGTGCAGTAGCAGCCTCTTGTTCTGTATGCAATGGCTTGCGTACAGATCCAGTGTGCTTGCTCAGCTGTCGCTCCAACGAGGAATGGTCAATTGATGGACATGACAAGCTGGTCAATTCAATGGGAATCGGTGTATGGGGGGTTGTTGATAAATATTCCCGGATGGTGCTTGGACACTTTGCTGTCCCAAACAATCGCCGTGCAGACACAGCTCTTGCCTGCTTCTTGCTAGTGGTCCAGAAATTCGGAGGTACGTCACATATATGGTCTCCAGCTCAATACTTAAATTAAATTATACACAGGAATTCCGATTCAAGTGACAGCCGATAAAGGTTCAGAGAATGGGAAGATACATACTGCTCAGATGGTCCTACGGTGTGTATTTTGTTAGTGTGTAAAGGGAGCTTGACATGACGGGGCTCTAGTTCCTCCTATGCACCAGATATGGATCTGGATGAAGTTCCAGCATGTGTTCACGTGAAAAGTGTACACAATATCACAGTCGAGCGTCAATGGAAGGCCCTTTACCAAGGACACCTACAAAATCTACTCGTATTTTGGTTCGATCATCACGGTGAATATCATGCCCAGGATCCACTTCATCAGTACGTCTCGTTATTCTCGCACTGGTTTCACTTCTGATCGCAAGCAGAGAGCTCGCACGCTTCATTTGGGCGAAAGTGGTACAAGGCACTCTCGATCGTTATGCAAACGAGCATAGAAACCATAGGATCAGGTTACAAAAGAATAGAAACTTACCTACCGGCGGAAAGCCAGGGCACTTTTATGAGCATCCAGAACGCTGGGGAGGTACTCAGTGCTTGATTCCTATTCCAGATGAAGATATCAATATGGTGGTTCAGCAGTATGTCCCACACGACCTATTTCACTTCTGCTCGCCCGAAGTACACAATGTGGCGACATCTGCACTGTTCCAGCTTGGGAGTCCTGTCTTGACGCCAACTAATGCTTGGGCTGTCTTCGCGAATATGCTTCCAATCGTAGCAAGCACCGTTGCAAACAGTTTCCTCCCAAACACGGCCTGGTAAGCACGTGGTGAGTGGCTAGATCTGTTGGGGTTTCGAGAATTCTCTATACGTACCACAGTTGCAACCATATCACCCCCACACATCGCTGTTATGCTCCCTTTCCTTGATTTCTCCTCAAACAATTAATCTTCTTTCTTTCTTCGAGGCTCGCATTATTAATAGTATGGCGTTCATGGGACCCGCGAGTATCTCCTCACTTAATTAAATACATGCCTATTTCCCACTTCTATTAGAATAAATACTTTAATTATAAGATAGCGGTGTGTTATGCTGCTAGTGGTCAAAGTTCAACGGTCGAAGAGGTTGACCTGGTGGCTCGCTTAGGAACAATTGAAAAAATTTTGACCTGGCGGTTCTCGGACACCGTAAATGCCACCCCCTGTTAATTATCAAACTTAGTGCGCTGAATCGAGTCCTGCATGCGCAAATTAGCCCGCTTTAATTGGGGACATCTGTTGCTGATCGAACCATTGTTCACTTCGACTTTGTTGCTATAATCACACTACAAATATTTATTGGTCGTAACTATCAACATAACCACTTCACTGGTGTTCTTTAGTCAACGATTACGGGCACCTGGAGGACGATATGCCCCTGAGGATGGACGAGGCCGGTTGACAGTCTGGAATCCATCTTCATCAGGAAGTGCTGGAGACTGTTGGCTTGGAGTCGTAGGTCTGCTTCTATTCGCTTCATCCTTCATCCTTTCACGCTCACGCCAACCGGGTCGACCACCACCACTACCACTACCACTACCACCCCCCGTGTCGCCTCGAGCAGCTGGTGGGACGTATTTAGAGCCGGTGGGAGTTGGGCGGCTTGAAGGTGTAGTAGGTTCTGCCCGAGGTGTTCGACGCCACACATCCCCTCCGGTATTGGTTGCAGGTACTGTGGACGACCGAGCCTGACGCCGACGTTCTGCTTCTTCCTCTCGTTCTTGCTGCTTTCGAATGCGTTCCAAATCTGCAGCCCGCTCTTGATCTCTTTTCTTCCGCTTTTCTTCTTCCGCGGCTTTGGCATTTTCGTCTTCTTCTCTTTTTCTCTGTTCCTCTGCGAGTCGCTCTATCACGAACGTATGAGGCCATACGGTTTCAGTGGAATGGAACGAGACCATACCTTGTTCCAGTCGTGCAGCTTCCTCCTCCTTCTCCTTCTGGGCGCGTTCTTGTTCCTCCCGTGCATGTGCTTCACGTTCTCTTTGCTTCAAAACCGCATCACGTTGTTTCGCCTTTTCTTCCAGAATCTTGTTGTTAGCTTCCAATGTTCGCCTGTGGTGATCCTGGCGGCGATTTTGATTAAGGCCACCCAGATAGACTTGGTAATCTGGCATGATTCGCGACAAACGGTGTTTGGTCTCCAACTTCTCTTGATGAGCTTGCCGGGCGGCGTCAATAGTTGCTCGGCTTGTGGCTTCAAATGCAGCCTTGTCTTCGGCTTGCTGCCGCGTATAGTCGTCAACAAGGAGGGGTATCTCAGCTTTACGGAAGGCACGTTCAATATGGTCCATTCGCTGGGCGGTGCTTCTCATGC